GGGGGCAGCCGCATGCATCATGGACGTACGAGCGACATCCATGACCATGCCAATGCGGCGCTAAGCAATCCCATTTTGCTGTGGAGATTCCGGAAGCGTGAAGGTCTGGCGGATCCCCCGTGCACGACAGTAGTCTCGCAGAAGGCGAGAGGAGAACTCCCCGCCTCGGTCAGAGTGCAGACGCAGAACAGGAAAGTCCGAGCCGAAGCTCTTCCTGAGCTGGAGACGAGCCTCGCGGATCCAGTCAATCAGCACCTCAATGAGAGCACCCTTGCTGCGCAAGGGGAGGACTGTGGTGTAACGCGAGTAGTCGTCAACCACCAACAGGAAGTAGCGCTCGTGACCCTGCCCACGGACGGGGGCTGGGCCCCACACGTCCATGTGAAGCGTCCGCAGAGGAGCCTCTGTCGGGGGGAACTGGGAGGAGTGAGGAGTAGCCCGGAGGCGACCCTCGACACAGGGGACACAGGAAGGTCCTAGCCCGGAGGGAAGGGGAGGGAGAGACTGGGGAAGACCAGAGACAAGGACACGGGAAGCCATGCTCCGAAGACGGGGCAAGGACGGGTGGCCAAGATGGTGGTGCCACAGGAGAGTCTCGTGAGACAGGAGGCGACAAGAACAGGGGGCAGACTCAGGACCTGACCTGGACGCAGCAGCAAGCACCTGACCTGACGTAGCTACCTGACCGGACGCAGGGACAGGAGGAGACGTAGTGGTCAGGGTGTAGAGACTCGACCCCGGCCGACGTGCGAAGGTGGCCAGGTGCCGGCCTGTGCGTGCGTCCGTGCAGTGGGTCACCCGCTGACTCGCAGGAGTGAACTGGTGAACCCCCGCATCCTGTAGGTCCGCACCACTCACCAACTTCGTAGAGAACGAGGGAAGGTACAGACTAGACAGGGTGCCCGAAGGGGCAGCCGGACACGGGAGGACAGTGGAGAAGTGAGAGAGGACAGGACCCCCAGAGGGGTCAGCCAGGGAGACGGCAACCGGCCGGCCAAGCGGCGTGAGGGTGGTGCAGTCTCGAAAGAAGGAGCGAGAAGCCCCGGAGTCAAGTGTGAAAGTGAGGGAGGACGAGGGCGACTCAGTACCTGAGAGCGCAGTCTCACCAGTACTTGAGAGCGCAGACGCACTGGCACCTAGAGCAGCAGCCTCACAAGCACCTAGCGCAGCAGTACCAATGCCCGGGTCGGGCTGGAAACACCGGTAACCCTCATTCTCCTCACTAATAGACACAGCATACATAGCTGCAAGGATAGCATCAAAATCAAGATCAAAGATTGCTACACCAGCCCTAAGAAGCTCATCCCAGCGAGGGATCTCACTTGCCCCGTGGAACTGCTGACGCCAAGCGTCCGTCAGGCGGCCAAAGCAGCGCTGGGTGGGTTGGGCACCCCCACACTGCTCACCCGCGCGGTCGCCGGAACGAAGGACGTAGGTGCAAGGTCCAGTACCCCCACCCCTCTGACGCTGAGTGTACCACTCACGAAGCTGCTGAGGCGGAGGGATGTCCCGCGAACGCTGCTGCTGCTCCCGCTGCGAGCGCTGGCCACCTCCACCGCCGCTCCGCTGCTGGGTACCACCCCGACCAGCTCCACCCCCTCCACCACCACCGCCTCCTCCGCTGCCTCCTCCGCCGCCTCCACCTCCGCCGCTGCCACCACCACCACCGCTGCCACCACCACCGCCGTCTCCGCCGCTGCTGCCACCACCACCACCACCTCCGCCTCTACTCCCGCCGCCACCCCCACTCCCTCCGCCGCCTCCGCCGCCACCGCCACCGCCCCCTCCAGCTCCACCCGCGCCCTTGCCCCCCTTGCCCTTGCCAGAGCGACGTCTCCCACTAGGGGCAGACGCCGTGCCGACCGACTCAAGACCAAGCAGGTCGGCAGCAGCAGAAGAGGCAACAGAGGGCAGCAAGGGGGAAGGAGAGCACCCCTCAAAGATGGGGGTGCGAGGGTCACCACGAGAAGCTCCTACAGCGACTATGCTCTTCTCCGCTGCAAGGAGGGCCTTCTCGAGGAGGTCGACAGTGAGGGTGGTGGGACAGACTGCGAGAAAGTGGTCCCTGACTACGCGAAGGGAGTCAGGGAGGCACGCGACTACGTAGTAGAGAGTGATGTACATGGGGGGGGGGGGTTCTTAGCGCAGAACTCAGCAGGAAGGGCGGTGCGGTAGCGAGTGTCACTAGTGCGGAGGTGCGTAATGAGGTCAGCGACAGTGGGAAAGGCAGAGAGGTCAGGAAAGAGGTAGGGAAGCATGAGACGGCTCAGTGCAGCAGTGGCAGGGGAGGAGTAGCGCGCAACTACAGCGTCGTACAAGGTCTGAGCACTCTTGTACTGACTAAAGTGCGTGCGCTCAGAGGTAGGGAGGTGGCGATGCACAGCAAGACGTGCAGCAGCATCGCGGGTGGCCCACTGAGAGCGCACAGTGGGATTAGCATCAGCAGCAGGGGCAGGAGAGGCGCCAGAAGTGAGGTCAAAGAGAGAGAGGCCGTCTGCCCTATCGCACTGTAAAAACAACTGCAGGTCGTCGACCCAGACCTCAAAGTCAATGGCGCGACCCTCAGCGTCAAAAGCTAGGACACTAGGGGTAGCCATGACGACGACAGCGAGGCAGTGCAAGCAGTAGGGGTAGAGCACGCAGTGACAGTGGGACTGTGCTCACCAGGCAGGGCAGGCCGGGCAACTCTGCAGAAGGGCGGCTCGGCGACTCAGCGACTCGGCTGCTGGGCGGCTCGGCTCCCGGGCGGCTCGGCAGCAGGGCGGCTCGGGTGCAGGGCGGCTCGGCTCCCGGGTGGCTCGGCGCCAGGGCGGCGCGGGTGCAGGGCAGCGCGGCTCCCGGGCGGCTCGGGTGCGGGGTGGCTCGGCTGCACTGCTGCTCGGCTGCTGCAGGTGGGCGGCTCGGCTGGTGCACGTAGGGTGGCGGGGCCGCGAGACCAGGGGCGGCGGGGCCGAAGGAGCAGCGGCGGGGCCGTCAGAGAGGGCGGCGGGGCCGCGGCTGAGCAAGCGGCGGGGCCGGTGTCGTAGCGGGCGGCGGGGCCGCGTCGTAGCGGGCGGCGGGGCCGCGTCAGAGTAGGCGGCGGGGCCGGGACAGGGGACGGCGGGGCCGTTATGGTGCAGCGGCGGGGCCGACAGAGGTGCAGCGGCGGGGCCGGCAGGTGCAGCGGCGGGGCCGTCAGAGTAGGCGGCGGGGACGGGACAGGGGACGGCGGGGCCGTCAGGGTGCAGCGGCGGGGCCGACAGAGGTGCAGCGGCGGGGCCGGCAGGTGCAGCGGCGGGGCCGGGACAGGGGACGGCGGGGCCGTCAGGGTGCAGCGGCGGGGCCGACAGAGGTGCAGCGGTGGGGCCGGCAGGCGCAGCGGCGGGGCCGTCAGGGTGTAGCGGCGGGGCTGGGACAGGGGACGGCGGGGCCGTCAGGGTGCAGCGGCGGGGCCGACAGGGTGCAGCGGCGGGGCCGGGACAGGGGACGGCGGGGCCGTCAGGGTGCAGCGGCGGGGCCGGGACAGGGGACGGCGGGGCCGTCAGGGTGCAGCGGCGGGGCCGACAGGGTGCAGCGGCGGGGCCGGGACAGGGGACGGCGGGGCCGTCAGGGTGCAGCGGCGGGGCCGACAGGTGCAGCGGCGGGGCCGTCAGGGTGCAGCGGCGGGGCCGGGAGTAGGGTACGGCGGGGCCGTCAAAAGGGGACGGCGGGGCCGTCAGGTGACGGGGCCTGCGGCAGCGAAGAAGAGGCCGCGCGGCAGGCGCGAGGGCGGCGGGGCGCAGCAGAGCCGAGAGGGCGGCGCGGCGCGGCCGTAAGGCCAGCGCGACGTGGGCCCGGGCCGCGCGCGCGAAAAAAAAAAGAGTCGCGCGCGCGACTCGCGGGGGGCCACAAGAGCAGCGCGACAAGCACGAGGGGGGGGGGGGGGGGGGGGGAGCGCGCATCGGGAAGAGTAGGGCGCGCTCCGGGCAGGAAAAATATCGTGGGTGGGCCCTTAAAAAAAAACGGTCCTTAGGAAGGACCCGCTCTATACCATGTGAAAATAAATGAACAGGAATGAAAATGACTAAGTCAGAGTTGGGTACAAATACAACCCTAGAAAGCTGTACCCCATATGTGCTACCCCACTATAGCCTACAAACATGCATCAGCTATGATAATCTGACATAACTATCACGCATTTGTAAGATATACCGGTGTGGTGCATTTTAACATATCATGTGCATACAGAAGCATTTTCATGCATATGTGTATTAGGTATGCACGATATATCATGTCTCATCATTACATTCATTTAAGCATGCGTGGCGTGTAATTCATTACTAATATTCATAACATTTATTGCTTGCAATTATCACAACATCAAACATTAACAGATATAATACAAACACTATAGCATTTACGCACATAACTACTACAAAGACTGCTACCAATATTCAACATGCACAATGGGAAAGGTGGTAGTGTAGCTTACGGATCTTATTTTCATGTTTTATTAAAAAAACATGAAAACAAAACTGTCAAAATCGATCATAAAGGGTTGCTTCGCAACCCAAAAAGAAAAGAAAAAGAAAAAAAAAAAAAAAAAAAAAAAAAAAAAAAAAAAAAAAAAAAAAAAAAAAAAAAAAACCATCCTGATTCTTAATACATTTACTTGAAACCACTTGATTCTCGGAATTCTACCGTAGGAGACGTCACGAGCGCAATACCACTTCTGATGACTAAGTGGCTTAGTACGTGTTGGAACCGAACGCCTGATTTGAAAGTGGCTACCTAGCAATAGAGAATTTTAGCCTCTCTTGGGCAAACGAATGAAAAACTCCAAAACAGAGTATTCATTAACATCTCCTACACCTGTCGTTAGCAGCAATAATGGTCGGACACACAGAGATCGATACGCGCTAACGGATTCCCTCATTGCAATGCTTATTTACAGAGGACGTGCGGGGCATCATTCTAACTGCCAGTTGTGCCTCCGCTATAGATCTCCTACCGCCAGAAATACTCCTCCCTTGCTTGCTTCTCTATGCGAAGAAAAGCAGAGCGGCGAACAGGGACATGAGGCCAGTAGCAGCTCGGGTAGGTGATGAAAGGAAACCTGCTACCCGCAAAAGGGGGGTTGAGGGAGGTAGGAGATGGGGGGAAAGGGGAACGCGGCAAAAAGAAGGGAGGGAGCGGAGGAGGGATGGGGGAAGAAGATAAGCGTGAGCAGGTATTTGCTTGGTCGTTACAGCGTCTAGTGTAGAATATAATAGCGTTAACTTCTCTTTCCCGTTCTGTGTAGCAACCTTTTAGACGACGGTGCGTACCAGCAGCCTTGGGTGCCGGTGGCGTCAATCCCTGGGGATTCACAGAGACAGTTCCGTCGGTATTCACAGTCACGCCTGGAGTCTGCACACCGCCGGTTCCAATGGACACCCCGCCGGGGATTGTGACGCCGGTACCAGGGTTAACAATCGTTCCGTCAGAGTTCGTAATCGTTCCGTTAGGGTAGACGGTGATGCCGCCGGCTGTCGTTGATCCGTCAGGGTTCACAGTCGGCGTAATTGGCTGCCCGTCGCTTCCCAGAATTGTGCCGTTCGACAAGATTGTCGTTCCGCCAACTGTCACGCTGCCGGGATTCGTGGTAGAAACTCCGCCCGAGCCAATGTTTATTCCCGGGATTGAAATCTGAGCATCCGCTGGTCTAATCGTCGGCAATAACGATACTGCTATGAGCAACAACACCGTGAGGAAGACGGTTCGAGAAGCCATTTGTGGCTGTAAACGGGTTTCACTAGGACGAGCGGCTTTCGAGTTGAACAAAGAATGATGCTTCTGCATTGAAAAGAACCAAACAAGCCTCAACCTCAACTCCACATCCGCTCCACACGCAAGTTGAAATGGGATGGGCTGGGAACGAGAGAGACACTACTCTCAGGTGCTGCGTGGTTGGGATAAGTGCTTTGCGGTGTTCTCCGGCGCCTCGGCAAATCCTCAGAAGTGGCTTGATTGGTTTGGGGGCGGGACGCAAACCAGACCGAGCATCTTCGTACTCTGCTTGCGTGACTAATCACGGCGTCCCGCAACTTCCGCAGCGAAAATGACGGTTTGGTGGTGGGGAAGGGTAGCGTGGCACGGTGGTGGTGCAGTCAGCTCGGCTTGTCCAGAAAGTTCCGGGATTGTTTCAAAACACTTGCTGTACTCTGAAAACAAGAACGCGATATTATCTAAATTAGGAACGAGCTACACTAGCGAGCGTTTTTGTGTATCCAACAAAGAAAACAGGCTCAATAGCCTCCATAAAGATAACAGAACTTACAACAGCAAACACTGATTTAACACTGCATGCTCATAATTCCAAGATGTCTGTTGTTCATGTGTGCTGGGCCATTGTGTTGTAGACTTCTGGTTTATCTCCCATTCTGTCTTTGCTTTACGCAAAGAGCACAGCGGCAAGCAGGGAGATAACCCCCGTCACTACGCGGGCAGGTGTTGCAATGAAGCCTGTCAAAAGAAAACGAAAACGATGATATAAAAAAGGTGGTCCGTTCTCGGCAACTCCAATTCCTCCTCCTTGCCCCTTCCACCCATTCCAAAATAGCATCAAGTGAAAGGAAGGGTTCTGAGCATCGGCTTAAAACTTCCCAAAAAAACAAAAGACTTCTCACCAGCAGGCTTGGGTGGAGGAGGAGCTGGAGGTGGCGTGATGGGAGTTGGCGTTACGGTACCGTTAGGGTTCATGGTAAAGCCTGGGACCTGGATATTTCCACCGGAAGAGTTAAACCCAGGGATCGCCGGCAGCCCGCCATGAACAGGTTTCCCATCAGCGCCGATGATCGTCCCATTGGGATAGATTGTGTTCCCGTCGAGCGATGTAGATCCGTCAGGGTTTGTGGTTGGAACTGGTGGGTTGACTACTTGGCCGTCGCTGGTGACATATGTGCCGTTTGGATATATCTTGGTGGTACCAATGGTCACACTCCCGTCAGGGTTGGTAGTGCCATTCGGGCCAAAAGTACCACCTGGAGTTTCTATCGTGCCGTTGGTGATGTTGACAACGCCAGGGATCGAAATTTGTGCGTTCGCTGGCTGAATAGCTGGTGTGTAAGCCACCGCGAGGAGTACCAGCGCCGCAAGGAAGAGCACACGGGGAGCCATGAAAGCTGTTAGTTGGGTTATGAAGTTAGTGTAACAGTGCAGCCGAGTGCTGCCAACTGCAATGCAGGTGGGCAGAAGACAATTGTAACAGTGCAGCAGCACGGCGCCAAGAACAGTGCAGGTGGGCGGAAGTCAAGCGCCACCTCACCTGCAGTTCGGATTGGTCGAACGCCCCAACCTGCAGCTGGGCGACCAGATTCCGACACGCAGCCCAAGTCAATCCCACGCACGAAAATTACGAAACGCAGGACTCCGAAGTTCCGACCGCTCGCCGACTTCGCCAACAACACCGACGAAATTACAGCCCCGTAACCAAGCTCGCCGTCCAATCCCGTACCGCAATAATTCTCTGAATTTCACGGCAGGTTCATTTCAAAGGGTTGGGTTACCATTGAAAAATTCAGAGAGAGTCGCGACTTGGGAGTGCGACTCGATGTTTGAATGTGCTCTATAAAATTGTACTGTCAAATTTGTGAAGAGATAGTGCAAATTCCAGAGAACTCCAGAGAGCACTCTATCCCCGTTTTCCTAGCCTACTAAGGCTGCTACTTCCCTACCCAGCAGCGTTTCACTGGTAATCAGAGCCTGGTTACTCACTTCCCACGCTCCCGCCATATTCTAGACCCTATGGCTGGACCGTCGGATATGACTCCGGAACTCTGGAACGAGTTTGTAGCCAATATGCGCCGAGAAATTGAACGCGAGGTGCGTGACCGGATCCTCGGCGAACTCCAGGAACGTGGACTCCTGGGCACACAGGTGCCAGCGCCAGCACCTGCTGTGGTCTCTGCACATCTGAAAGCACCGGAACCTGAGCCGTTTGTCCCTGGAAAACGAGACCTACCTGTGCGAAGGTGGCTTTTCCAAGTGGAGGAATACCTCTCCCTTTGTCATGTCAACCGGGCGGAGTGGGCTCGGCACGCCGGCATGATGCTGCGAGGAGCTGCTGCTACTTCGTGGCAGAGCTGCCACGCTACAATTTCAACATGGGAAGAATTTTCTGCATCGCTCTTAATGAACTTCGAACCGGTCAACGCCATCGAGCGCGCACGTGACAACCTTGCTGATTTACGCCAACACCGCTCGGTCGCTGAGTACATCAATCGCTTCCGCGAGCTTGTGCTTGAGATTCCTGACATCCCTGCTGCTGAACAGATGGACAAGTTCAAGCGTGGGCTGAAGCCGAAAATCCGCACCGAGGTTGAACTTCGTAGCGCTGCGACGTTGGATGAGATGATTCGTGTCGCCGAGCATTTTGACACCATCAACTTTGCAGCGTACCAGCGATTCCAAGGGCGAACCAGGCAGCACGCAGTGGCTGGTCCTACTATCCGCACCAATGGTCCTACTCCCATGGAGCTCGGTGTGGTGGACCAGCGCACACGCAACCAATCCACGCTCACGTGCTACTCGTGCGGGAAATTCGGCCACATCAAGCGACACTGCCCGAACCGCCGCAATTTCGAAAGGTCTCCGGGAAACGAACAGCGCCAGTAGCAGTGGGGCAGACCTCTGGCGCATCGCATGCCCCGCTTCTCCCGACCCCATTATTCATTGGCACCTCTGAACTCTACACCACGTCAAACGCTCCATACCCCGCCATCATCCTATGGGCTAAAATCAAAGATCGCTACGTCGATTTTCTGCTTGATACCGGTGCCTCCGCTAACTTCCTCTCTCCTTCCATTGCTGTTGAACTTTCTCTCCCCGAAGATCCCAACAGCAACCCGCAAGACGTGATCATGGCAGATGGTACTCGACGGCGCTGCGGACCTACCCTCCTCCCCGTGCACTGCATGTTTGGAAGCCTCGAGGTGACGGTTACGTTCGAGCAGATACACCTCGGCGGCTACGAAGGCGTTCTCGGTCGACCGTGGCTGTACCAGTTGGGACCGCGAATCTATTGGCGTAACGCAACCGTCACCGTCGGCAACTACGACCTCCCATCCCGCTCCTACCGCCGCCCATAGTCATCCCCAACAACTTCAGCCTCATCAACTCATCCACCCCAACCTGCCCCACCTCCAGCCTCCCATATCCCCCCTCTCCCTCCTCCTCTCATAGCCCCCGCGCAGCAGCCAACACCACCAGGCTCCCCCGAAGTCATCAACACACCTCCTCCTTCCCCTCCCCACCTAACCCAGCAGCCACGCCGTTACCTCTTCCGCCCTTTCTCTGAAGTTGTCAACCCACCAGCCCCCACCCCTCCTTCACCACCTCCTCCTCATCATCTCCTCGTCATCTTCACGGCTCCCGAATCTGCAGCATCAGCTACCCCTCCGCCATCAACCATTCAGAATCTGCTCAACGGTTATAAGGACGTGTTTCCCGATGATCTACCCGCCGAACTTCCACCCGAGCGTGCTATTGACCATAGCATCCGCCTCATTCCAGGTTCTACAACGCCCGTGCGGCCAACCTATCGCATGAGCACCGCTGAACTTTTGGAGCTTCGACGCCAACTCGATGACCTTCTTACGAAGGGTTTCATCCGCCCCAGCACCTCACCATACGCTGCCCCCGTACTTTTCACCCGCAAGAAGGAAGGTGACTTACGCCTTTGCATCGACTATCGCGCCCTCAATGCCATCACGATCAAGAATAAGTACCCGCTGCCCCGTGTCGAGGAGTTGTTCGACATGCTTGGGGAAGCGATGGTTTTCAGCAAGCTCGACCTACGCTCCGGTTACCACCAGATCCGCCTCGCCGAAGACGACATCAATAAGACGGCGTTTCGCACCCGCTACGGCCACTTCGAGTTCCGAGTCCTTCCGTTCGGCCTCACCAACGCACCAGCCACGTTCATGGGACTCATGAACGATATTTTTCGGCCCTTCCTCGACCGTTTTGTCATCGTGTTCCTCGATGACATCCTCATCTTCAGCAAGTCTCTTGAAGAACATGCTCAGCACCTACGCATCGTCCTCGACACGCTCCGCCAACACCGCCTCTACGCCAAGCTCTCCAAGTGCACCTTCGCCCGTTCAAGCATCGGCTTTCTTGGCCACGTCATCAGCTCCAAAGGCATTGCTATGGACCCCGCAAAGGTCCAGTGCCTTGCTGATTGGCCAGCACCACGCACGGTAGCGGAGCTGCAAAGTTTCATCGGCCTCGCCAAGTATTACCGGAAATTCATCTTCAACTTCTCCCACATCTGCGCTCCTTTGACCGATCTCTTTCGTCAAGGAGCTGCCTTTCAATGGGGACTACAGCAGCAGACCGCTTTCACCGCAATCAAATCAGCACTCACCTCTGCACCGGTCCTCACCGTCGCTGACCCATCACGGCCGTACTTCATATGGACCGATGCCTCTGATGTCGCTATTGGTGCCCTTCTTTGCCAAGACCATGGCCATGGGATGCAGCCACTTGCATTCGAGTCACGAAAACTTCAACCGGCAGAGCGGAATTATGCAACACACGATCGGGAGCTCCTTGCCATTGTCCACGCAATCAAGACATGGCGCTGTTACGTTGAGCTGCAGCCCGTCACCGTCTACACCGACCATCGCCCACTTCAACACCTGAAAACACAGCCCGTGCTCAGGCGCCGCCAAGCCCGATGGGTTGAGTTTTTGGAGCAGTTTGTCCCCTCACTCCAGATCATCTACCGCCCCGGAAAGCTCAATCCAGCCGACGTCTTGTCCCGACCACCACCGCCAGCCCCACCACCCACCAACCACCCCCAACCACCCACCAACCAGCCCCAACACTCCCCAACCAGCCCCACCTCATCACCTCCACCTCGAATTCCGAACCCACCCTTGCAACTCCATGGAACCAGCAGCATCACATGGGATGATGCCTTCATCACGAAGTTTCAGCGCGCCTACAAACGTGACCTGTTTTTTGTCAAGCAAGCACCTGAGGACCCGGCCTACTCATTTGAAGACCCATTTTGGTACAACGCTGTCACCAAGACCATTTGTGTCCCTACGGATCGTTCCTTACGGCAGCTGCTACTCTCCGAATACCACGACACCGGCAGCCACTTTGGTGTTGAGAAGACATACGCACGCCTCTCCAACGACTACCATTGGCCACGCATGCATGCTGATGTGCGCGACTTCATACGCACATGCCGAACCTGCCAACAACTCAAAGCACGCACCACCAACCGCTACGGACTCCTTCAGCCCATCCCTCCACCTACCAAAGTGTGGGATGAAGTCACCATGGACTTCATCATGGACCTGCCCCGAACACCCCGCAACTACAACGCCATCCTAGTTGTCGTCGACCGACTCTCCAAAATGACTCACTTCATCCCTACCCACACAACCGTCACCGCACCCGAAACAACCCGGCTTTTCTTCGATCACATAGTACGTTTACACGGCCTCCCATCCGCCATCATTTCAGACCGTGACCCTCGCTTGTTGAGCAACTTTTGGCAAAGCCTCTTCAAGCTTCATGGCACCCGGCTGAAGTTTTCTACCGCATTTCACCCTGAAACGGACGAACAAACCGAACGGATGAACCGCACGCTGGAAGACGCCCTTCGTGCACAAGTTAACGCTTGCCAAACGGATTGGGACCTCCACCTCACCGCCATCGAACTTGCATACAACAGCACACCCCACCTTTCCACTGGCCAGCCACCCTTCTACCTCGCAACCGGACAGCACCCACGCCTCCCCACAACCCCACCCTCCCACCTCTCCCACGCACCAGCAGCCTTTGAGTTCCTCACCTCCCTCGAATCAGCCATCGATGCCGCTCGCACCTCCATCCTTAAAGCACAAGCCAAACAGACCCACTATGCCAACTCCCACCGCAAGGATATCCGCTTCAAGGTTGGCGATCAAGTGTTACTCTCCACTGACCACCTACCCCTCCTACGCAAAGGCACAACCAGGAAACTTGCCCCTCGCTTCATTGGCCCATTCACCGTCACCCGAGTCCTCTCACCAGTCAACTACCGCCTCCAACTGCCCAGCTATATGAAGATACACCCCGTCTTCCATGTCCAGTACCTCCGCCCTTTCCGTGCACCTTCACACGACCGTCCAGCCACACGCCAACTGCCACCGATGTTCGAAGGCAGCCCCGGCCTGTTTGAAGTTGCATCTATCACTGCTCACCGCGACACACCCCACGGTCGTGAGTTTCTTGTTCGTTGGAAGGATCAGCCTGCTAGTGAGGACTCATGGGAACCTGAGAGCCACCTTGACCGTGCTGCAACTGCCGTGAACCGTTATTTGACCAGCCATGGTTTGGCGCCGTGGACGGCGCCACTTGGAGGGGGAAGTAATGTAACAGTGCAGCCGAGTGCTGCCAACTGCAATGCAGGTGGGCAGAAGACAATTGTAACAGTGCAGCAGCACGGCGCCAAGAACAGTGCAGGTGGGCGGAAGTCAAGCGCCACCTCACCTGCAGTTCGGATTGGTCGAACGCCCCAACCTGCAGCTGGGCGACCAGATTCCGACACGCAGCCCAAGTCAATCCCACGCACGAAAATTACGAAACGCAGGACTCCGAAGTTCCGACCGCTCGCCGACTTCGCCAACAACACCGACGAAATTACAGCCCCGTAACCAAGCTCGCCGTCCAATCCCGTACCGCAATAATTCTCTGAATTTCACGGCAGGTTCATTTCAAAGGGTTGGGTTACCATTGAAAAATTCAGAGAGAGTCGCGACTTGGGAGTGCGACTCGATGTTTGAATGTGCTCTATAAAATTGTACTGTCAAATTTGTGAAGAGATAGTGCAAATTCCAGAGAACTCCAGAGAGCACTCTATCCCCGTTTTCCTAGCCTACTAAGGCTGCTACTTCCCTACCCAGCAACGTTTCAGTTAGTTGGGTTATGAGAACCTGGCAGACTATTTCAGCAGAGCAGCTTGGCGCGTTCTTGGCTGATCGGGACGTCGAGTTGAATGTTTCGGTTTGGGCGTGGAAGTTCCAGTGCCGAAGCTCCGACGGCTGAAGCTCCGGTGCCGAAGCTCCTGCCACGAAGCTCCGACATAACTTGAAGCCCTGCGGGGCATCGTCTTGCACCTCAGATACGTGTAGATGGAAATATTTCGTTATACAGTATACACCACGATTGTTTCTATCCAGGGAGGTGATAACGGGTTATGGAAAACATTTGGCGTCAGCTGGCGCGGATCACATCAAACTCTGGAGGGAACGGAGGCTAGGGCTGGAAAGCGAAAAGCTATCTGAAATCAATCAGGTTAGGGCTCTGGTAGAAGTTCGCCATGTGAAGGTTTCTGGGTTTGGCTCGAAAGCTATCTGAAATCAAGAACCCGAAATTGTCTATGCCATTGAGCGTACCATTGGGCGCAGCTTCATATCCGACGACGATGGCACAACAGGGACCACATTATATTAATTTCAGTTCATAGGATTACACACCGCGCGCTGATATTTCCTGAAGTCCTGTAGCTCAAGTCTGTGGAGTTACATTCGGTGTAATTTTCAAGATATGTTTGGTGTCTTGCTTGTTTATGCAAAGAAGAGCATAGTGGCGAGCAGTGAGATGAACCCAGTCACCAGGCGGGCAGGTGTTGCAATGAAACCTGTCACAAGAAAAAATGGGAAAAGATTAGCTGAAGAACATATCCAACTCTACGCAATAACTTCCTCTCCCTCCCCTCCACCCACATCTCTTCCTCCTTTCCCCCTCTTTCCCCTTTCCACTCTTCTAAAAAATATAATCAAAAAGCGAAGAAAACAGGGTTTGATGCACTTCTGTAAAACAGCAAATGCAAGCAACTTCTCACCAGCAGGCTTGGGCGGAGGAGGGGGAGGGGCATTTGGCATGAGGCCTGGAATCGACCCGCCAGGGTTAACGGGTTTCCCATCAGAGCCAATAATTGTCCCATTCGGAAAGAAGTTCATGCCGCCGACCGTTACAGAACCGTCGGGGTTTGTGGGTGGGTTGACTACTTGGCCGTCGCTGGTGACATACGTGCCGTTAGGATAGACCGTGGTGGAACCAATGGTCACACTCCCGTCAGGGTTGACAGTGACGCCGCCAGAAGTGCCATTGAACGAGGGGATGCCTGGGATCGACACATTTGGCATGCCTGGGATTGACACATTTGGCATGCCTGGGATTGACACATTTGGCATGCCTGGGATCGACACATTTGGCATGCCTGGGATCGACACATTTGGCATGCCTGGGATCGACACATTTGGCATGCCTGGGATCGACACATTCGGCATGCCTGGGACCGTCACATTTGGCATGCCCGTGCCATTCTGGCCAATAGTAGTACCGCCTGGAAGTTCAATCGTGCCGTTGGTGATGTTGACAACGCCAGGAATCGAAATCTGTGCGTTCGCTGGCTGAATAGCTGGTGTGAAAGCCACCGCGAGGAGGACCAGCGCCGCAAGGAGGAGCACACGGGGAGCCATGAGAGCTGTTAGTCTTGGAAGTAATTTGGTTGATGAGATGAGAAATACTGAACTGGCAGTAATGTAGTCCTATTTCAGCAGATCAGCTTGTGCCGTTCTTGCTGCTTGGAAATTGGACGTCGGCTTGAATGTTCTGGATTGGGCATCGAAGCTCGGGCGCCGGAGCTCCGGTGACGAAGCTCCTGGGCAGCCTCTCAAAGCCCTGTTACGAGGCTCCGACTTCGGCTCGAAGCCCCGCTGGTACAGTTTAGCACCTCGGGTACATGGAAACATTGTGTGTTGGCCGATTATATACACTCCAGCGAATATACTTCTAGCCAGCGAGCTGAGGACTTATTCTCACAACCGTCGAGATTTGCGGACACGACAAGATCTGCAAGATCAGAAAGGGGCCCCAGAGTAGCAGTAAAGTGGCCGAATTGGGGCCTTGTGAGTCGCGCCCCTACTACGCACCCTCAAAGCAACCAGCACACCTAGGCAGGTAGGCCGAGCCTGGCCTTTTAGCCAGGTCACCACCTACTGGCCTAGGGCTGACGGAATTTGTCAGTGATTCGTCGTCGTAAATTACCCAGACAAACAATTGTTTAACCCAGAAAAAACGACATCGCTATGGTACAAAATATATACCCCATTCGGATGGCATATATTTGGGGAGGCATCAACCCTAAACACCGTGGGGCAAGATGTTTAGGGCTGAGGCCCCTTCGAAGGGATGACGCATGAGGAAAAAATCGTCAATTTTTAAATGTCGAGTCAATTTTTTCGATGTCGTCAAGGAAGAAATCGTCACCCTGTGTGGTCAGGTCTAACGGAGCGCGTGTGTGAGGCTCGAAATTCGTTGGGCACAGGCCCGGCCCAGGTTCGACTCCTTGCGACACACAAGGCCCCAAGTCGGCAAATTTTCTAGAGCTCTGGGGCCCCAATATTATCATCTCCCAAAAATCTTCACAGATTTTTAACCCTCGACCATGCGTCAGAAGGGTGACCATGGTTTGTGTCAACAGTGAGGGCGCATTCTTGCCTGACACGAAGTGAGTTTCGGAAGACCCGAAGTGACCTGGACTCTGGCAATTCAATGTTCGGAAGACCCAAAGTGCGCCACTTCGGGTCTTCCGAACCTCCATCTTAACCTCCACTTCGTGTCTGACACGATGTAGAAATACGCCCTGAATCTTGCCAGAAGGGGCCCTGTATTTTGAGATGTCTGGAAAACTTTTTTTTTGTGGTAGGCTGACAGCCATGTCTAGTACGGATTTCGGCACCGAACCCCAATGGTGTGAGGAGCAGCTGCTTTCCCCGGTGCGGTTCACCAGACCAACCAAGGGTAACGACCTGGCTTGTGGGCACGACGCGATCGACTTCCATTGGCGGCAAGAATGAAACGTCTGTAAGAAAATTGTCTGGGCGTGGTTTTGGTTTGGGACAAGACAGAGCAATAATTGTCTGTCGGTTCGGAAAACACCACTGATAGGCGTTATGAGTCGTAAAACAAACTTCAAAACAAAGGAAATTCCAAGCACATGGTTGATCGTTTCATCATCACTAAACCCACCAAAAAAAAAAAAAACCTAATCACCCCAGATATAAGCGCAGGTGTTCTTATAGTAAAACAGTGATTTTTAGGGGGTGCACTTATAATTGAGTCAGATTTGTAAGCGCGTGCGCTTATAACATGACAATTACAGAAATGTGCTTAAAATTCACCGAACTGTACATCTCTGTCGTGCAATTTCAATCGAATAAGAACATTACAGCGTCCCACATCAGAGAATCGCGCGAGGGCGATTTCAGCCGCCACACAAGAAAAAAACACGTCACCAGGGCCCGTGCTAGGATTTGGGGCATCCTGAGCCCTCAGGGCACTTTTCTGGAATCTTAAAAAATGCCCTGATTTGTCAGGGCAATTTTTCCAAGCCTTCCTGTATGTTCAGGGCTTGTGCAGAAACTAATCCTGACCTGTCAGGGCAAAAACTATAGTGTTCAGGGTTCAGATTTTAGCACAGACAAAGACCAGACTCTGTGATGCAGAGCAGAGCAGAGCAGAGCAGCGGCATCACACATATAGTAGGTGTTTTACTACCCAATTAACCCCTTCGCCAGCAGCGCCGTAGTTGGTGCCGTGTCCTGCGTGCTTGATACACAAATTGCACCTCACAGATGGGAAACCGAAGGAAGTTTGACAAAGCACGAGCCACGGGGAAATCAGTTGACCATTCCCGTTTGTACTTCATAAGCGCCTCCTGGTATTTATCCTCTGCCTCATCGCGCAGTTCCTCCGTCGATGAAGATGCAGCAGGAACGGCCGATGGTCCTGGTACAGCTAGCTCTAAGCGGATACGTACGGTGGGTTCCGTAGGACTCTCGCGAGAGAACGACAAGCGCGACTGTTTGTGCTTGGTAGCTCTTAGTTTAGCGGTAGGGGCAGGGCCGATGCGTGTCGCACCAGGTGGCACAACGTTTGTGCTGTTCGTACTAGCATGGGCGGATGTGACCGCGGGAGTTTGAGATGAACCAGCTGCAGGTGAGGCCATTGGTAACGTGGACACCGCTCGAACAGGACGCAAGAAATCTAAGCCGGTAAGACCTCGTGATACTGGCGTCGCGCCATCGTTCTCGTTGGCCATGACTAGTACGACTGAGCCAGCCGAGCTTCACTTGTGCTACTCAAACAGCAACACTGGAAGAGTGTTGGTTGGGTTGGATGGAAGAGTGCTCAGAGAGACACCCAGCTAGTGCATGCATGGCACACGACGAGTTGCCTTGCCCAACCTGTTCCCCCTAGTCTGATGGGTTTGTCTTGGCTGGTGCGTTGCGGGGGATCGGAACAGAACTCTCAAAGATCGTGCGAAGGCGGGAAACACACACGGGGGAAAAAAATCACCGGAGACGAAAGTCCCCGAGGACGAAACCCACCCCCACCCACCCCCCCCCCCCTCCCAAAAAAAAAAAAACGCGTCAGGGCTGGCCTTGATATTCATCCTGAAGCGACAGGGGGGAACACTACGGCCATCCTGAGAGTTCAGGGCTCTGCATATAAAAACATCCTGGGACCTCAGGGTGAAAATTGGCACTATTCTGAAATGACAGGGTAAATTCAAAACTGCATCTTCAATTCAGGGTAATCAGGATGTCTTGCCCTGATAACGTGGGCCCTGCACGTCACAACGCAGAGGGATGTGTTAAGCTCGCCCCGAACCAATGTACGAGCCAGTCGCACGGAGTCGCTTGCTCGTAGCGCACAGGCATAGTCGTTCCCGAGCCCCCCCGCCTGCCCCTTTTTCGCTCGCACAACGCACATGACAGTCGTTTCCAGCGCCCATCTTCCCTCCCCCCACTCCCAACGATATGCTGGCAGTCAGTCAGCTTCACGCTGTTTCGCTTCTCTTGCGAATCGCTCGCCCTCAAGCGAGTCAAACAATTAGGAACGGATCTGGACTCGCTGCAAAAAGGGAAATCGTTGTTGGGTTGAGTGCCCCTTAGGATCTTTGGTAGGGTTAAGGTCCGAGTAAAGTGACGTAGTAGCGGAAGCGTTTAAGTGAAGTCCTTGATGATGAGAAATGAGAATGGAATGAACTATCAAACAGTTGGGTACAAGTACTAACCGTAATTGGGTTGTACCCTTTATGGGCTACCCCACTACAGCCTACACAAATATATAAGCTATAATGTTCTGACACACCCCCATAGGCAAAGTGGGGGAGAACAAGTGGTCACAAGACAAGTCAAGCAAAGCAAAGCAAAGCAAGCTCAGGGTGGATCACAAGGCCACCACACAGTCCGAGCACAAGAGTAAGGCCACAAGGCCAGTTCACATGAAAGAACATATATATAAAGGTAAAACAAGCAAGGACAGGTATAGAAAGAATACAGTACAAACAAGATCAAGAAGTGAGCAAGTGAGGCCAGGTAGGCAGAAGACCTAGCACAGTACACAAGCCATGATGATCACAAGGCGGAAGGGCCTTGGTGAAGATATCAGCAGTGTTGGCCTCAGAGGCCACGTAGGTGAGGTGGAGCTGACCACGCTGCTGCAGCTCACGAGCCAGGAAGTAGTGGAGAGCAATGTGCTTCGTTCAGTGCTCCAGTCTGTGCTCCCGACACAAGGCCAGCATGGCCTTGTTGTCTACCTACAGAACTGGAGGAGAACGAGGCGCCTCTCCTAGGTCAGTCATCAGGTAGGTGAGCTAGCGTAGCTCCTGTGCAGCCATGGCCTCTGCGTAGATATCAGCCTCACAGCTAGAGCTGAGAACAGAAGACGAACAGGTAGACCGCCACGAAACAGAGCCGGAGCCAAGGCAGAAGGTGTAACCCTGTGAGGACCGCTGCAGAGCCTGGTCTTCAGCCCAAGAAGCGTCATCGTGACCTGTGAGGACTACTCGACGTCGCCCTCCAAGCACTAGCCCCATGCGAGATGTACTGCACACGTAGCGCAACACCCTCTTCGCTGCAGCCATGTGCTCTGGTCTGTGTCTCCCAAGAGCAACATAGCGTGCCAAGATGCTACGAGGGTATGCAAGGTTAGGTCGTGTGCAGGTCATCACATACATGAGGCAGCCAACAAGCTCTGGGTACGGGCCACTCGACTCTATGGACTCATCCGAAGGCAGAGCTAAGAGCGAGTGGCGAGTAGACAGAGGAGTGGCCTGAGGCGAGGAGTACGTGAAGCCGAAGCGCTCAACCGCACCATGTGTGACTTAGTCAGGATAATGGTGCGCTGTGCTCTGTCCCGAGTGATC